AGCCATGGTGGGGACCCACCGGAGAACTCACGCATGGAAGTATCAGGGTGCTGACGTGGGTGGACCTTGAGCCCTCGATGGATGGTGGGAGCCCGCAGGTAATGCTGTCCTGACCCTCGAGAGGGCGCTTCTGAGGGGCACCCACCTGCTCCTCATAGACGATCAGAGCAGTGACCAGCACAATAACCCACCTTCCCTTTGGCTTTCCCCATCTCCCTGTTTCCCACTTCTCTGTCCCCCATTCCTATTTCCTGGCCACAGACTTCTGTCCCAGGCTCTCCTTCTGGGCACTCAGGCTACAAGGCCACCTGGGCCTCTGTGCTAGAAAGCATCCATTGGCACCTGGCATCCCTCTCTGCCCCTTCCTTATTCCCATGTGTTGCAGGGGCTGGAAGGCTGAAGCCTCCCTTTCCCAGCTCCCCTTGCTGCTGGGGATCTGGACGCAGCCTAGGCTCTGCCAGAGGGAACGCACCGCAGGAGGGGATTGGGAGGCAGAAGGGAGGCCAAGGCCATTCTCCTTGCAGCGTGGTGGCTGCTGGGTGGGATCTGACAGACATGAGTTTTTGCAGCAGCCAGACACGGTGTTCCTTCCACTTTCTTGTCATCAGCTTCATGGATGTGCAACTAGGAGGTTGGCAATGATTTCCTGCAAGGTGGCAGCTAGGGTGACGTGACCTACCACAGGGCAGAAGTGTGCCCTAACTGCCACTCCAACAAACCTTTCTACATGTAATTCCCTACATTAAATATCTTTCTGCACAAAATACCCAGAGTGTTTTCTGTCTTCCCTGCACTTAACCTTGACTGATAGGGCTTCCTCACCTCTACCGTACGCTGTGCCACCAGGCTCAGGTGGAGGGAAGCTGAAAGGCCACATATTTACCCAAAGAGACATCCAGAAAGAGACTGAGAGTCAGCAGCCTTCCCCGCCCCTCCTTCCTTATTAGATCAACTTTCCTTCTGGAAGTTGTGGCTAGGGCTTAGGTATGTGAGCTGGTCCTGGCCCAGGACCCTGAGGAAAGTGTGCAGAAGATGGGTTCTGGGATAGCTTCTCTTTCTGATAAAAGGAGTCACACAGGAGACATTCTCTCTGCCACTGGATGGGGTTCTGTGAGAACATGATGCTTGGGGTACTGACAGCCATCTTGCAATCATGAGGGCATACGTCTATGGATGAAAGTCAAAATACAGAGGATGCCAGAGGAGACAGACAGAAACTACTAGGTTGAGCTACTGCATTAACCCCAGAGCTGCCTACTTTTAGTAGGCGTTGCCCAGGCAGGACCCTTGCCCTCTGAGCCACGTAGAGGCTGGTTCAGAATGCTTCAGTTTTTTCCACGCTGACATGCTGGGACCCAGGGATGCTGGGACCTCTGGGAGCTGGGCTGGGACCAGGCTGAGGCAAGTGAGGCATTTGCCTTAGATGCAAAACTTAAGGAGATGGCAAAAAAAAAAAAAAAAAAAAAAAAAATTCAGTAAGCGGGATAAATAAAATTTTAATGCAATATTAAAAGAAAAAAAGCATGCAAAAAAGACACAATGAACAAGATGCCGAGATTTTTATAAAGAGACTAAAGAATTGGTGTCTCCTGCTAGGTCTGCTCTTGTGTTTCCACACAGGGCACTCTGGATGAATCTCACCTATGACAATCCATATGACGAAGCAGGGCTCTGGGATTTTGAGACTTGGGTTCAAGGACGGGCTCTGCCAATGACTTACTGGCGATTCCAAGCAAGTCCCTTCCCTTCTCTGGACTCTGGTTACCCCAGCTGTCCTGTGTGGAGGCTAGGGCATTGCCAGGATAGCCTCCTGACCTGTCCTCCTCATCCCCATGGCCTGCTGAGGTTACTGGCCCTCTCCCTGGGAGGCTGTGTCTCCTGGGCCATTGACTCCTGGCTATTAATATCTCCACCATGCCTGGCCTGATCAGGGTGTTTAATGACTGTCAGCTGTGGCTCCGGCCCCCTCCCTTGGGAGAGATAAGAGCAGTTCCTATTCCCACATGGGGGAAGCTGGGGGGAGGCCGGGTCATGGCTCAGGAAACAGGCCCTGGGCGAGTGGTGGGAATGCAGGGCCTGACGCTGATTCCACACTGGGGTCAGGGCTCAATCCAGGCTCAGGGCCTAATCTGCGCCCGAGAGGCCCAGCTCTGCAGTTGGGACTGGGACAGGGATCACTGTGTGCCACAAAATTCAGGGCCCTGGTCTGAGGGCAAGGCCCTGGGTCTCCCTAATCCTAAGCTGCCCCTGGGCTCACCAGTCCTGGGGCCTCACTCCCGCTTCCCTCTTGTATTTCACTCTGAAACGGAGCTGAGGAGAGAGGCTTGCCCTCTGTGTCACCTGGCCTTCTGGGGAGGGGCCTGAACCCTGGTGTTTGGGGCCCAAAGGCCAACCTTGGTGAAGTCCTTAAGGTACCCACCAGGTGGCAACAGAGATGAGCTGGACTGGCCTGAGGAGTGACCTAGGAGGCAGGAGAGAGACTGGGCAGCTGGAGGGAAGAGAGAGCACAGGAGAAATTCTGTTCCAGGGTCACCCCCACTCCATAGGCAGCTTGGGATGTCTGCCCATGGTGTCTGCTGGCTTGAGACATTGTTTCAGCTTCTCTCCGTTCCTGAATGCCCAACACTGGGCTTTTCACCTACCGCCACCTCTCAGGGCAGGACCCCACCGATAGTGCTCCCTTTTGCTGCCCGTGTCTTGGGGCTCTCCATGTTTGCTTCACTTGCCACCCTCCTGGCTGATACATCGGGTCTCCCCAGGGCTCTCTCCTTACCCTGAAGCCATGACTCACTAACGGTCGATTTCAGGCACTGTGGTGGATGGGCTGGGTCCAGCTTGGTTTGGTGGCCCCTCCTGGCCTTCCCATAGCCCAGGCAGCCTGTGGGGTCCCTGACTTGGCAGGCGAGGTGCTGCCCTTTCCTCTGCAAATGCCCTGCTTCTAGGATCTGTTAACTCTTCCCATTTGTTTCCCCTCCTCCCCTCCCTGCTCCTTCCACCAGCCTGAGCTCATCCCTCAGTTCCAGAGAACTGTTCCTTGTTCTCTCACAGACTCTGTCCTCTGTGCATCCCTTGTTCCCAGTCTGCTTGGAGGTCTCCCTCACGTTGCTGTCCTCCCCAAGCCCAGAGGACAGAGCTGGTGGGAGAGGGCTCTGAGCAGCCCCTTCCTCCTTAGCCGCTCATGCCTTAGCCGGGAGCTAAGTCTAGCCAGCCACCAGGTGGAAAAACTGAGGCCCAGAGAGAGACGGGGAACTGCTCAAGATCTATGAGAAAGTCTGAATCAGAACTGGGACTAAAAGATTAGGGCTGGGTCTTCTGGATGTTACTGGTAGACAACGTCTCTGGAACCAGCCTGTAGCAAGACAACCTCCTTGCAAGTTTGCAGGAAGTGGAAGCCAAGGGGGTCAGGTCAGGCAATGGCTTTGGAGATCTCTTGCTAACTGACATCCACTCCGCCCTCCTGCCTCTGCATCTAACCTTTTCCATTAGTCATACTGGCTCTGTCACTCATTCTGGTGACATTTATTCCGTCCTCTATCTATCTCCTCTCAGCCGAACTCTGGGCAATGTCAACACGGTCAGCTCATACCCCACGCACCCCTCCCCGTCTGCAGGCATCACTGTGGCCTGGAAAATGTTAAAATTAACCATTTGGGGGGCCACAGGCAGCTCTGTCAGCTGTTTTGCAGTGGTCCAAGAATAGAATTGTCTCCTCTCAGCTGGATTTAGAGGGTCAGGGGACACAATTGAGGGCCTTAGGATACCAGGTCCTCTCATCCGAGGGTCGTCATCAGAGAGGGAGGACCTTCATCACTCTCAGAAGGCAGAGGATACCGCTCAGCGAAACACGAGTCGAAGGCTTTTAGAAGAGCGTGCTCCTCTCCTGGAAGTGCCGGAGGGGTGGCGGCGGGGGCCCCGGGGACCTCCCCGCCTCTGAATGCGGGGAAACGGCTGTCCGTTGGAGGCCACGTGGCACCATCATCCACCAGAGAAACCAAGCCAATTCAACCCACCATTTATTGTTGTGCAAGCCTGTTTGCAGAACTGAGGGGGTCTTCTAGCCGGGGCGTGGGCAGGAAGCCACGTGGCCAGAGGGTGCGGGGTCCACACAGGATGCGACGACCAGAGGCTCCGGTCCGGACGCCGCACGGGCCAGAGGCCTCCTCAGCCACACTCCAGGCCGCTCGCGTGGGAACGGGGTTGCCGGGACGGCGGTCGTAGTATTAGTGAGGATTCAGCTCGTTACAGTATGTAAAATGCAGCAGTTAGGAGCCTGTGCTTTCACCTTCCGGTCAGTCAGACGCCAGATCAAACGCCAGCTGTGCGACAGGCGAGGCACCGCGCTCCGCGAGGCTGCTTCCTCGTCTGTGAGGCACCGACCGGACTCCCCACCTCCCCGAGTACGCGAGGATTACGGGGCTCAGGGGCGCGCGTCTCCCAGGCGCCACACAGCTGGCCAGCCAAGGGAAGCTTCCACAGCCCCGTAGGGCAGTCCCGACTGCTCCGGCCATCCTGGGACCACGCCACCTGAGCGGGGACGATGGGGACGCCTGTGCACCCCACGCACGGGACCGCACCTGCGTGAGGCAGAGAACGCCTCCACCGAGAGGAGCAGGCAGCTCGGAGGGCGGCGCTGGGGGAAGGCACGGCATCTTGGAAGAGATGCCGGAATGGCAATGCTTAACCCAACGGAACTTGACGGCAGCGGCGGAACCTCAGGCCCTGTTGCGGCGGCGGCGGCGGCGGGCGGCCTTTAGGCGCACGCCCGGTTCCCACGTACACCGTGAGGGGACGCGCGGCGGCCTTCCCGGGAGGGCTCCTGACGGCGCGGCGCGCCGAGGCCCGCGAGCGCGTGCGCACTTCTGGCCCTTGATTGGCGGAGGGGGCGCCTGCGGGGAGGAGTCTGACCACTGAGCTCCACCCCACATCTGCCCGGGGTCCGAGCGCCCAGGGCACCCGCCTGCAGAGAAAAGGCTCCCCGCCTCTGCGCGCCCTCCTCTCCTCAGGAAAACGCCAGGGCAGAGTTCTCTCGGGGCGTGTGGACCGTGACCTGGGGTGGAGGGTGGGAGCAGCCTCCGACCCCAGGGCTGGGGCTGGCCTCGCCCGGGCAGGCCTCCGTCCCCGGTGCCGCCCCGGGGGTGGGTGGTGCGGCCGGGAGGGGCCGCCCTGGGCCCCTGGGCGCCCCGGCGGTCAGACCAGGGAAACTTCGGCCTGGAAGCTGGAGGAGCGGCGCGCGCCAGGGCTGACGCGGGTCAGTATGGACACCTGCGTGCTGCACGTGGCCCCGCTGCTGCCTCCCGAGGGGTGCTGGTATTTGAGGTTCCAGCCCAAGATGCCCTTCAGGTGCCAGCGCCGCCACTTCCGCCGCAGCTCCGCCTGTACCTGGGGGGAGGGGGTAAGGGAGGTTGGTCAAGTCCGCCCCTAGGGAGCCTCCTCCACCGCTGATTGGGCTGCCCCGGATTTAGGGTGCTGAGCCAGCCAGTTATAGCCTCTTGGGGAGTCTACACTGAGAGACCCGAGTGCTACCTTGGCCGGTGCCCAGTTGGGATCACATAGGAATGGGGGTCAAATCGAGGCCTTGGAGTGGGAGGAGGTAGGAGGCAGAGAGGATCAGAGAGTGCAGTCCAGGGAGGGAGAGGGGTGCCGCCTGAGGGGTGGCTGTATTCCTGTTCTTCCGATCCCTGCCCTCCAGCTCACTTGGGCTCATCTGAGTGGATGGATTTCTGTGCTTTGCAACCAGGGCTCCACAGTAACTCAGCCTCCGATGGCTGCCCACCCCCTTCCCCACCCCCACTCGCTGCACACAGCTGCTTAACAAACTGATGTGCACATGAATCCCAGGTGTGTGCGCGTGTGTCTTAAAATGCACATGCGAAGCCAGCAGGTCTGGGGAGCGGAGTGGGGGCAGAAATCAGCCCTTTTAACAAGGTCCTAGGTGTGCGCCCCCACCTGTTTTCTGGTCTGAGAACCACACTCGGAGTAGCAAGATTTAACCCATCCTTGCTCTGCACATATCCCATCAGTGGTTCCAGACCCTGGGCCAACCAGAGTGCTATTGCCTGGCCCCCCAAGGTCTGGGAGGGGCTTACCTCACCATTGAGGAAGCAGTAGAGGATGGCCACCACAAAACCCTGGGGAAGAAGGGGGCAGGAGAGGTGAGGTAAACAGACTCCGGGAGCCCCCAGCCCTGTACCACCCCTGGCCCTGGCCCCTGTGTTCCCCTGGTTAATCAAAGAGCTAAGCATACAGCAGGTGCTTAATCAGTACTTATTACAGTGAAAAAAAAAAAAAAAAAGGAAGCCACTGGTAAGGGGCCAAGGCCCCAGGTTGAATACCCTTAAAGCCCAGAGAAGAACGCAGCCTTTGGTTGATGGTTCATACCTGGAAAGACCCCACGACGAGCTCAAACACCATTCTCACTTCAGCTTGGAAGTTGTGGGGAAAGAAGACGAACATGGAGTAGTGCACTCCAAACAGGGGGATCAGCAGAAGGGTGGACTTGGCCAGCCTCCTGGGGACAGGAGAGGGGCAGACAGTGGGTACAGGAGGTAGGGACAACCGGGATGTGTGAGGATGGGCTGCTGGCTCCTGGAAGTATTATGTGCACCTCTGTTCCTGCTCCAGATCTGCAGTGCCTATGCCCTCATGCCCCTCAGCTCTCCTAGCCTGGAGGGAAGCATGAGGGAGAAAGAAACTCTATTCTCACCCTTCTAGAGGAGAGACTATAAAGGAGGCCGGTACTGAACCCTGAGGATGAGACATAGTCTTTCAAGCTCTGTGGCAGCAAAGGGAGAGATGTTCTCAGCCCTCGGGAGATCTGGTTCCCCCTCTCCTGGTCTCAGTTTCCCTAATCTTTACAGTGGGGTAAATGTCTGCTCGACATGATCAAATTACAGACACGGGGCCCACTGTAAATTCAGAAGTGCTTTGGGCGCTATAAAATGCAGTGCATCCAGGAGAAACCAATTCTCTACTGGGGATGAGGACATTTGGGAAGGAAGTCTCTGTAATTGGGGTGCTGACCACACATGCCCAAGGCCACTTGGGAGGATGCTGGGCGTTCAAGTTTGTGCCTGGTTTAGTACAGCTCTCTGTCCCTGGCTTCTCTGCCATCCACTCCTTCAGGAGCTGCCACCTTTTCTGGAATTGCTGCCCTCTCTCCCAGCTTCCCCATACCAATACACACACTCCCAGCATGCTCGGAAGGGCCAGCGCCTCCTTCACCAGCCTTGTGTGCTGGGCAGGGCTGATATTCATTCTGAATGACTCCTCCCTCTCCGATGGAGCAGGGCTCATCCTGGTTGAGGCCTCCCAGCCACCTGAGCTCAGAGCTGGTCCAGGCAGCTCAGTGAGCCCGTGGTTCCCTGGCCAGAAGAGGTCTGAGGGGCAGGGGTCTCTGCCTTTGTCTCTTCTGCCTTGGCAGTCAGTCCGGGGAACCCTGGTCCTGGGTCTGAGGTCCCACAGCCGACTGGGGGCAGAGAAGCTGGCCTTGCCTCTCCTGCTCTTTCCTGGACCCGGTTCCCAGCCATGCCAAGATCCTGAGCACTGCCCATCCCTCTTGGGCCACAAACCTAATCCCACGTGCCCAAGGCTGACAGATGGAGGCTTTCTTTAAATTGAAGGCTTATGGGGAGGTGGAGTGTGGGAGCTGACAGCCCCTCAGCGGGGAGCTCCATCTCCCATTCCCCCCCACCCCTTCTGCCTGCCGACAGCTGTTCAGTTTCTGTCTCACCCACGGGGACCTGGTGATGACCAGGTCTCTTTGCTTCCGATTTGAGCCCTTTGGAGCAGTTGTACGTTGGGGGAAAACAGGGCCCCACAGGCAAAGCAGAGGATAGGGATGCACAGGCCTGATGTACTGCCCCCTGGCAGAGGACAGATCCCTGCGGGGCCTTCCATTCTCAGACTGGAAGGGAAGCTCCTCCTACGCACCCAGCGGGGGAGAATGCCGTCACACCGGGAACGTGAGCCTTAGTCTCATCAGAGAGAATCACAGGATTCCAGAATAGAATCCTAAATCCAGCAGCTCGTGACATTCTAGCCAAGAATCTTAGAACCACAGCACAAGACTCCCCAGAGAGAAGCCAGGCCAGGAACAGTCCAGAATCCCAGGACTGGAAGGCCCTTATGGGGCTCCCCAGGGTTGTCCGGTCTCCGTAGCACTGATAAGCCATCTCCTATTCCCATCTGTAGGCAGGCAGACCCCTACTCACCTCCCCACAGCCACCATGTCCATGTTTCTTCAGTTCTGTCCTCGAGCCCTGTTGTTCTCATGAAACCCTACCTAGTTCTCCAGTCCTCCCAGGAGTAGAGGACAGCCCCCACACCTTTCTAAGCAAGGAGCATGACCACCATCCCATGACACCGTGCCCTCCCCTGCCATGGCGATACGCTCCCAGACCCCTGAAGAGAAGGGAGTGTGTGTCCGTTTCCTCACCTATAAAATGGGAACAGTTTATAGGGGACTGTGTGGATGACATAAGATGATGCGTGGAAACCCCTTAGCACACACCTGACACGTAAACCGCAGGTGTTATTATTACTGGGGACAGCCGCATCCTGAATGTGGCTACCTCATTGTTCATCTGGGGGCTCCCCCAGGGCATGCATCTACTGTGCCTTTACTGTGTCCCTTTTCTGTGCCAGGCACATGCCAGGGACTGGGCACACGGTGTGAATAAAGCACAGGTTATCTGTTGTCTTCTCAAGCTCCCTGGCTTGGCGGCAGGTGCATACCTGGGTCAGATCCCTTGCTAGGTAAGTGACTGGAGGAGAAGCAGGCCTGGTGAAGGGGGGTGGCCTGGGGCAGGCGACACTTGTGGGCTGAGCCAGGTCATGGGGGTGGAGGTGGGCAAGAGGAAGGTGGCTATTTGGTGACCCCGGAGTCACCAAAGTTCCTGGAGAACTTCAAGGAAATGTGGGCAGATTTGAAGACTGGGGATGGGGACGCTGGGGGACCCAGGGCATACTCACGTGTACGGGCTGCTGTCACTCTTCCCAACATCTGAGGACCGAAGTTTCTGAACCAGGATTCGGATGATGCGAATAAACAGGATAAAGTTCACCTGGTGGATGAGGTCAAGGTCAGAGAGGGGAGGCCAGGGTGTCCAGCTCCCTATTCCCCCAGGACCCTGCTGCCTGTCCATCTTATCTCTTCCCTAGCTTTTCCCCCTTTGGGCAGGCCATCTGGGGACTCTACTTCACATCTCTAAGGAATGGGCCTCCCAATCCATTTTCTTTACCCTAGAGGAAGAACTGATGGGGAAAGGGATGGGGATAATCCTGCATAGGCACTGGGAAGCCTATGTTTCAGGTCTGACCCTGACATGAATCTCTTGTGTGGCCTGAAGAAAGTTGACTACCCAAGCTGGGCCTCGGTTTCCCCATCTCTACGTGGTGGGAAGAGGCCTTACCAAGATGGAGGTGAGGATGGGGGCCTGTATGATCCACAACACTGAGGAGTTGATGGTGCTCCAGCATCTGGACAGGGCATGGTGGGGGAGAATGAGAGCAGTTGTCCGTAGCCGGATTCAGAGACCCTCCCTGGTGTTCCAGCTCTGCCCCCAAACCGTTTAGAAACTACAGGTCCAGAGTCTGTTGCTCCCAGGTCCCCCTCATCCCACCCAGGGGATCTGCCCCAAGTGATGGCAGCCAGGGGGAGGGGGCGGGGTGGCAGCTCACCCATAATCTTCAAAATGGATCATGATGATGGTCCACACAATGGTGAATGTGCTGGGCACCCCTGTCAGGGCCAAAGGCGAGAGAAAGAGAGGAGAGGGCACAAGGGAGAGGTTTAGGAGAAAGAACCAGGGCGAATGGGAGGGAGGGAGGGAGGGAGGAAAGGGTAGGTTGCCAGGGCTGCCATCTGCAGTTACATAGGTTGTTCACTGAGCAAAGATACTCGCTCCACTGAGGGGGTGGAGCTCTATGCCTGAGGGGCTGTGTCCACCCAAAGGGAGAATCTTTTTCTAATTCAGATGGAGGCACTTTACAGACTAGCAGTGACCCTGTGTTTCAGGGGCTGAAGGGGAAATGGATGTTCACGGAACCTGTCCCACAGATCAGCCCTAGGTGCAGCTGCAGCCTGAGGGCACCTGCCCTGGGGTCAGATGTTTGGGGGACTTCTGTCAACTCTTTGCCGTGAGCCTGGCAGGCAGGACCCGCAGCTCAGGGAGACCTAAGAGTTCAGGCAGGGTTGGCACCCACCCCCTAGTGAGCTCCCCAGGCCTCGCCCCTTCTGTCCCCAGCTTGGAAGCCCTCCCTGGTACCATACCCCAGCCGATGAGTATGTACCCCCAGAAGTACTTCCGCTCAGAGAAGAAGGAGACGGCAAGCAGGGTGTGCAGGTAGAGGCCCTCCACCAGCAGCCAGAAGAAGTTGGCCATGACACAGTAGTGGAATAAGACCATGGCTGCCTTACAGCCCACCTGCAGGGGGAGGACAGAGAAGGGGCTCACTGGGGCTCACAGGGGTCCCCTGCCTGCCCCCAGTCTGTTTGGGGCAACAAACACAGTGGGGCAGGGCCAACTTAATCTCTCTGTTGTTTTTGCATTGTCCCCTTAGAAATGTCCCTGGTGGTTTTCCCATTATCCTTGATTTTAGATCATCTGATATTCTGGGATAAGCTTGCAATTTTAATTATCCATCCATCAGTTTAGCATCTATTCATTTTCCTCCTATATATCTACCCACCCACCCACCTATCCATTTCTTTACCCATAAGATACCCACTACCAGCTCACCCATCTGTCCATCCACCATCCATGCATCCACTGATCATTTATTCATCTTCCCATCTATCAATCCATCCATGCATTCACCCATCCATCTCTCCATTCTTCTACCTTTCCACCTACTAGACACCCACTAGCATCCATCCACCTAAACATCCAGCCATTCATGCATCCATCCACCTATCTACTCACCCACCCCCTACCAATCATCAATCCAGTTTTTCTTGTTTGACCCATCTGTCCTTCCACCTACACAGCCATCCACGCACCGACTTACTCAGCCATCCCTCTACCTACCCATTCACTTAACCCTTTCCCCACCCACTCATTCACCTTATTTCAGTAAGGATTGAAGGTAGCTGGAAGAAGGGAGAATTATTCTTGCTTGTGTTTGCAAGAGTTGCCTGAATGTGTGGGGCTATGCACTGCGGGCTGTGGAGTGGGGCCCTGATGGAAGTGCTGAGGACAGATGGGGGCAGAGAAGAGGCAAGAGGAGAAGGAAGTAGAAATGAAGAAGAGGAGAGGGAAGGGATGGTCATTCCTCCTGGGGGCAGCGGAGCTGGCGGGAGAGTGGGTTCCCCAGGCGGGTGAGGACAACGGGAGAGTCAGGGGGATCCCTGAGTAGGGCAATCAGGGGCTCTGGGTGGCCCACCTGGCATGACCAGAAGGTCCTGTCGGCCTTCTGTCCTCTCCCAGAAACAGTCTTCCATTTCGGAGCAAGCCCAAAGAGCTGTGAGCCAGAGCTTAAAGCCATCCCCCTCCAGGAAGCCCTCTAGATTCCACGCCTCCCTGGAACACAGGTGCCCACCCTTCCTTCCTGTGCCCTTGGCTTTAAGACATCCTCAGAGAGCAGCTTACTCTCCTGTCCCTCTGGCTGCAGGCTCCTTCCTCGGGTGGCACTCCAGTCCTGTCAGCTACAGGGGGGCTGGTGTCTCCCATCCTCCCCCACTTGCTTTACAACTAGATTAGCTCATCTCTTTAACAGGACAATTATCTCTGCTTCTTGCCTTTGAAAAGCTTCAGATAGTCGCTAATGAACTGGGAAGCCAGTCTCCGCAACTCTCCTTAACAAGTGTGCTGGAGACTTCCTGGCTTCCCAGGGTCCTAGTTCCTGGGTGGGATCCTCTGAGGAGCTCTGGGATTTGCCAGGGTGGCCACTCTGGGTTTTCCCTCCCTCTTGTCAAGATGCCCGAGATTCCACCATCACAGGTTCATTCTCTGGGGAGAAGGTATTGCTGACCCCCGAAATAATGCACTGCCTTTGACGTCACTCATGAAGCAATGAGTCCCTGGCCATAGGAATCATAGGAATAGGTGGGAGCCAGGGCTGGTCTTGAGCTCTCTGTCCTAGCTCTGGGGCACTCAGAGAGGGGGCCCAGTGCTGATGATCACTTGGAGATGGACCCCTTAGTGATGGGCAATGAATTCTTTAGACACTCTCTTAACTTCCCTTCCCGAGGAAGGCCCAGAACGGGGCTGATGGCAGGGGAAAAGGGGAAGAGAAGGGCTGTGTGTTTGGACTGGCTCCAGGTGGTGGTGGTGGGTGGAAGGGTGTAGTAAGGAAGCTTGGAAGTCCTTGCAAGAGGGGGAAACTGAGGCAGGGAGTTCCTAAAGGTCACTTGGGAAGTCAGCAACAGTGGCGGAACAGGGGGGTTGTGGACTCTGGCCATAAAATGTCCCATTTCCCACCCAGGAGAGGCATTTGTCACGGGCACGGGCAGGTCTGTGAGCTCCCGGGGAAGCTGAGCACTATCTCCTGCTGCGGGGAGGGGAGTGGGATTCAAGGAGCTGCACATGGTGGCAGATGGGGGATTGGCCATCCTTGGAGAGAGAGAGAAGAGGAAGGAGGAGAGAGGGAAGGGGGAGAAAGTGGGAGAAGAGGGATCAAGCATGAGAAGGGGAAGGGGAAGAGGGAGAGCGAGGCGGGCCTGGGCAGGGTTCTCACCGAGCCCATGGTGCAATCGTTCAACTCCTCGCTGTCGAAGAGGGTCAAGTCTTTGATGAAGACAGAGGTGGCCCTCAGGATGAAGGACATGAAGAGGTGCATGTGGATGTAGTTCCGCGTGCAGTGGAGCTTCCTGAGCAAGGTGGGCAGAGCTGGGTGGCTGCAGGGCCCTCGGACCCCCACCCCAACCACACTGTCCAGTGCTCCGTGCCCGCGTGCGAGGGTAAGGCAGGGGCAGCGTGTGGCCTCCAGGTGCAGGCCCTGCCCACAGGTACCCCAGCCCTGAGGCAGCCTGGCTTCCCAGTGCCTCAGCCTCCAGGGCTGCCCCACCCTCTGGTGCCCTATCCCGGGCTCGGTGCCATCCTGTAGGGACTAGGCTGAGACAGGTGGACCGCTTTGAGCAGCTTGCTGTCTCCCCAGGAGGTTGGCCTGGCAGGGGGATGGGGACAGGGATTGTGTGCTGCCTGGGTGCGAGGGGGGTGACCGGGGAGGGGGCCAGAGCATGACTGGGCCAGGCTGGGCTCCAGCAGAGGAGCGAGCTGGCTGGGTCTGCTTTGAGGCTTGTTGCTGGGGCTAGACCTCACCTGAACAGGCTCAAGATGGCCATGGCAACGAGGAGGGCAGCGAGGGACAGGCTGTGGCCAATGGTGTAGCTGGTCTTCACGAAATTGTAGAACATGGACCGCTGCTACAGGGGAGAGCGGGGGGGGGGGTCTGAGGTAGAGGTGGGGGGGCTCATCTAGGGGGTGCTGGCAGGGGCGCATGCCCTACACACCCTGCCTCCCATCCCTGCCTCGGCAGATGAAGGGGCCCAGGGCTTGGCCCCCCAGCGGCCCAACACTCTCGCCCTTCAGACTCCATGTGAGGCCCTTTCCCTTTGCAGCAAGAGAGGCGGCAGGGCATTAGGGTGCCAAAGAAGACACCACAGGCAATTTGCCCCCGTGGGCTCTCAGAGGCAGCAGTCTGCAGGGTGAGGGCAATCTGGCCTTTCAGAGGGTGGCAGGACAAAGCTAGAATCCAAGGGCTTCTTGCTGGATGCCTCCCCAGTGCCCTCCCCATGGACACACATGCAGAGCCTCGGTCACTGGGCCCTTCCCTTCTCGCTGTCCACGTCCCATCCCTGCCGGAGTCCAGGCAAGGGGTCAAGTGGGATTTAGGGGATTTAGATCCTGCCTGAGGAGCTGGTGGGCTTTGAGGGCCTCTGAGGAAGTTGCCCTCGTGGGAGGAGTGAAAGCTCTGAGATGAGTGGGGGTGGGACGGATGTCACAGCCGAGGGACACATGCACACACCTGTGTCCCCTACACCAAAGCAGTGAGGGGCTCCTAGCTGAGGACTCCAATTACACTCTACCTTCCTGTCCAAATCCCTGCCTGGCTCCTGGGCCCACATCCATACAGTGAGGACATCTTCACCTGCTCCGGGGCATCTCCCTGTCCTGGGACTCAGGACCACGGTCCTGTCCCTGTTCCTGTCCCTGGCTGGCTGCTGGGTATCTGAGGGTGGTCTTTCCAGGATCTGCCCCTCAGTTTCTCCTCTGCATGAGACGGGGAGATGAGGCCTTCCTGGCCTGCCCCCTCTAGGGCTGGAGCAAGCCTCCCACAAGGCGCTGGGGTGGCCCAGCCAGGGGATGCTGCTTCAGCTAATGCTGCTATGTGTCATCCTTGTGAAAGCCCCCTCCCTGTTCCCAGTCAGGGAGAGACAGGGGGATGAGCCCCTGGAAGTGCAGGTCTGGTGAGGGAGGAGGCTTGGGCAGGGCAGATCCTCCCCCCCCACCCCCCGAGTCCTGGCTTCCACACAGACAGCAACCTTACTCCTTGCTAGGGGAGAGTAGAAGGAGCCTTGCAGGTGGATGCACGCTGGGGGGTGGGGGGTGGGGCAGGGGTGCACTGAGGCCCACCTGGTCCAAATCTGATGCCTTGTCATTCCAGCCACAGGCAATGTCGTAGGGGCCAGGCTCCAGGTTCATCCAGCCCTCGCTGGTGCAGCTACGGCTCACATTGCGGCCTGGGCGGAGGGCGGGGGCGGAGAGGAGAGAGGTTGAGGCTGGGAGCAGGGTGAGTCCATGAGTAGGCGTGGGGCCTGGCTGTCTCTGAGCTCACCTTATCCCTGCCACCCCCGGTTGTGATGGGCTCCAGCCGCCCTGCCCTCGACCCCGGGGCATCATGGGGGACTTGGGGTGGGGAAATTCTCCTCCAGGGCTGCCCAGGGGGACCCTCCAACATGAGTGACAGTCAGAGCAGACCTTCCTGGGCTCAGCCCTGCCCCTTGTCATGTCTTGAAACTGAACCCCGGTGCAAGATAAATAAAGTGATCCTCGTCACAGCCGGGATTCTTGGTACAGAATGACCTGTGACCCTCGTCATGAGCTGAGTGTCCACCCTTGTCACAGGGCCATAGGCGGCTGGTGTGGCAGAGGGTTTCTTTGCCCTGTGGGTACAGACAGCTGCCCTCTGGCTGGGCCGAGGGGCTCCTCCTGGGTCAGTCTGCCTGGGCCGACGGGCCTGCTTTCCTCCCTCACCCAGCATGACTCAGACGTGCCACTGGAGAGGGACCAGAGGTGAGGCAGGAAGGAGGACGCCTGATAAGGGCGCAGGTCTGAAATCCTAAGTGGAGAAGCAGGGAGTCGGAGTCCTGGCCGGGGAAACTGCCCAGGCAAAGGCGTGTGCGGGGCGGGGAGGGAGGGGAACACACAGCATAGCCCTGCAGGATCTTGGGGCTGAACTTCGCTGCGGCTGGGGCTCTGGGGCTGTGGCATCCTCCACTGTCCTCGGAGGCCCAAAGCTGAAGCAAAGGGACAGGACCTACTAAGGGGGCCTGTGGTGTGAGGGCTACCCATGTGGCGGCCCGCTCTCTAGCCCCGGTGAGGGGCTGCAGAGAAAACGGGGGAGCCAGAGAAGAGCCCAGGACTCACTAAAGAGCACCCAGGGCTGAGTCCCGGAGAAAGCTGGCTTGTTGGGGTGGGAGGGAGGGGGGGAGAAAAGGAGAGGAGGAGGGAGAGAATGATGAGGTGAGGAGATGAGGAAGAGCTGAGAAAGAACAAGGGTCCCTAATGTCCTCGCCCTGTAGTTCCTTCCCCACCAGCAGGTGGCCGCTCTCATCACTGGGGTCACGAGCACGAGCACCAAGCAGCATCACCACCACCGGTTCCAGCACAATAGCCAGTTTGGAGAACCTTCGTTTGTCACTACTGGACAGAGCACTTGAGGCCCAGCGTCTTACTGGATCCCCTCAACCCTCCGGTGAGGAACGGAATCCCATTTCCCACTGGAGAAGCCAGGCTCCCCGAGGTTGGTCACTTGCCGCAGGCCACACGGAGAGGAGAGGCTACGGCAGGTGTGATCCCCAGAGTTGTCCCAGGCAACCTTGCCCCCGCCTGCACTGAGGAGACCTGAGAACTTGTTTCGGGTGTCCAGGCGCAGAGCTGTAGGAGGAGTCGAGCTGTCCTGAGAGCTCAGGGAGGGTCACTGTGCATGTGCATTTAATATTTCTCAGCTTGGCTTGGAATACAGCTGACCGGGTGATTCCCTGTCTGCTATTTCTGGAAATCCTCCTGGCCGCCCTTTGAAAGAGGTTCTTAACCACCCTACTTGATGGCTGAGGAACTGAGGGACAGCCAGGGAGGAGTAGCCCGGCCTGGGTCTCTTCCCACTGCGAGGTCCTGGAGCCAGCAGGAGAGACTCTGCTGAGGCAGAGGCGTCAGGCTGGGCCAGTTCCTGACTTGGCAGCCCTTTTCTTTACTGGCCTCCCAATGGCCCTGCTGCAAGAGGCTCCCAGGGCAAGAGAGAAGTCTTCACTCAGCCCCTTAGCTTTCCCCCCGTGCAGCCTGGGTAGGCTTCATGCAGGCCTGCCTCAGCCCCAGATCTCAGGACCTCACCGAGGGGCCCTCCCAGGATCCGATTCTTGTGTGGACTTCCCCCACCAACCGGGGGCCTGGGGCAAGTCAAAAAAGGCTACAAGGCCAAATCAGCCAGCCTGGAGGTTGGAACACCAATGCCTCAAGTTTTGAGCTCCCCACTGGCCAGAAGGACCAGGGCTTGGTGAGGCCAGGCCCGTGACATGGCGGACACCTGGTGCCATCATGAATTAGGTGACCCATCAGCATCCACACTGCAGGGGCTGGGGACAGCAAATGTGACTGTGTTAAAGCTAGCCATTAGGAGTTATTACGAGTTCCACTAAAGGAGGGGGATGCCAAGGCTAAGAGAGGTCGGGTGACTTGCCTATGGTCACACAGCAAGGAGGCAGCAGGCTTGGGATACAGTCGTGGGTTAGCCTGGCTCCACATCTTTCTGGGCTTCCAGAGTGGCTGAAGGGGCACCGTGGATAGGGTGCTGGATAGGCTGGCTACCCCGGATATCGGGGGATGGGAGCGGATAGCAGGTCACCTTCAGGGTTGGGTGGCCTCTTTGTAGAGCCCTGGGATTGTGGCCCAGGTCTCAAAGGGAACTATTCTTGAAGAGAGATCTCAAGGGTGGCCACCATGAGACCCGAAGAAGCAGTCCAAAGTCTGTCTCCAGCCTGGGCCTGGGAACCAGTAGAACTTGTGTGTATAGAGGGGAATATGGAGAGGGGGAGGGAGGGGCTAGGGACTTTAACCCCACAATCTCCCAGTTTCCTGCGGCTCACTGGGTCACACAAAGAAGTCACTGCCCTCCCTCCCCCTCCTCCCTGGGCTCTCCATGAGGAAAGCACAGCTCAGTGACTGGAAGTAGAAACAGGGGAATTGCTTCCTCCCTGCTGCCTTCCCATCCCAGCTACCCTTCCTCACCACCACCACTATCTTCTCTCTCCGGAATTAGGCAGGAGCCTCCTGATGGGTCTCCCTGCCTTCCTGTCCCCTCCAACCCGCCCCCACCCCGAGATAGCTGAGGAGATTGCTCTCAAACCTAGCCCTGACCATGGTGCTCTCCAGCTGAAATCCTGTCAGTGGTGCCCCGTCCCGTTGAGCCGGGGCAAATGTCTCAGGCTGGAGTCAGGACTTTCTTATCTAGGGCTTCACGATGCAGGGGGTGGAGCAGGGCGAGGAGGTGTCCCACAGACCCACAGAACATGGGTAATGCAGCCCGTGGGGAGTCTTCTCAACCAAAACATCGATCCTAGTTGTCACCCCCAAAAAATGTCTCTTCAAATATTTCAAGGTAAAAACACCACAGATGAAAGACGTGCAGACCAGGAATCAAAGGACTAAGCCCCCATGGACATTTTGGTGCCTTGATGAGCAGTCCCTTGCCTGGCCAACACTCCTCCCCCACGGTTGTTACCACCCAGCCTGGGGAGATGGCTTCTCTCTAACTCTACAGTCTTTATACCCTTCAGGTGTCTTCAGCTTTCCCTGTAGAACTACGACCCTTCCAATACTTCCAGGGAACACACTCCTTCCCCAGTCTTGTTACCTAAATGGGGGAGAGTTGGGGTTGGCATTGTCCCTGCTCTACACTTGCCTTCTCGCAAACCTCCCTCTTTGGAGTTTAAGGTCACTGGCTCACACCTTCTTCCCAGGAAAACACGCCCTCTTTCCCTTCCATTTTTAGCCCCTAACCTGGTCTCCTATTTCTCTCCAACCTTTTCAGAGGCTAAGGCCACCAGGTATAGCTGTGCAGGTTGTTCACTGCACAAGGGCATCTGGCTGATAAACATGGCGGCTACAGTCTACCTCATATTCAACTTGTCATTAGGTGGGTTCTGGTGAGAGGCTGAGGAGGGGCTGCCTTCTCATCTGCACAAAGGCACATGTGGGCCTCGATGAGGCTGGCAGGCTTTGAGGGGGGGTAGCCAGATGGTGGGCTGCCGTCCAGGTTCTTAAGTGAAGGAGCTGCCTTGACAATTCCAGCAGGGACAGAAGGAAAAGCCGTCAGGAGGAATGCAATTAGCCGAGTGTCAAGGAGGAACACGAGTAGCAGGCATTCCAGGGATCTGAGAGAAGGCTGGTTGCCAGGCTCTGCAGATTGGACGCGCCAGAGCTGCCAGAGGAGTTCATTGCCTACCTGCCCAGGTGCTGGGTTCCCCCGGGGAGCTGGGCTAGGTGGGAGCTGGCCTGGATTACGGCACATTTCTGACTGCTCCCAGACTCCTCAGGGAGGGCACCGACGTATCTCTCTCACCGCTGAGGTCACAACACTGAGCACTTGGTGCGGGGGGGGGGGGGGGGCCGCCGGAAAAAACAAACCGCCCCAAAAAAGTCCCTTTGGCCCACCACCTGTCCCCATTTTACAGAGAAACAGATCCAGAGAGGGAAAGGCCACCTGGAATAAGAGATGTCCAAGAGTCTTTCTGCTCAGCCTCTGAATTCCTATCTAGGTCCTGCTCCTCTTAATCCTTCCCCCTCCAGACCTGCTCCTCCCTTGGGTCATTCCCGCTCCAGACCTGCTCCTCCCTTGGGTCCCCCCCTCCAGACCTGCTCCTCTCTTAGGTCCTTCCCTCTCCAGACCAGCTCCTCCCTCAGATCCTACCCACTCTAGACCTGCTCCTCCCTTAGTCTTTGACGAGTCTCCCAGCTCATCAAACCTAGACCCAAGGAGGACAGGCTGGATCCCTCCCTCCCTGCCATGAGTCACACACACCCTTCATAGGCAAATTTCCCACTTCTCTCCTCTGCCATGCTCCAGGTCCAAACCATTACCACTTCTCTCCTCTGCCATGCTCCAAGTCCAAACCATTACCTTGTGACTGGGTCTTCCCATTGCACTCCCAGAATCCTTTCTTTCATGGAAATCTGAATTATCGGTTAAAAACCTAAACCTAAATTGGACTACGTCAGTCCCCTACTGAGGAGGGGGAGCCACCCCAGTGGCTTCTCAGTGAACTTAGGAAAAAGTCCAAGTCCTCAGTCAGTGCTCAGGGCCAGCATGGCTTCTGCCGCCGGTCTCTTTCCTCTCCTCCCTGCCCTGAGCTCTTTCTGCTCACCCACTGCATTTCTTTGGTGTCCATCCCACGGGCTGCTGGTTGTCCCTCTCTGTGATCCCCCCACCCAGGATCTTTCCCATCTCCAGGTCTTCGGACAGCAGCTGAAGTATCACCGCCTCTATCCATGAACACCTGCCTTCATGTTGTGCCTTAGCCCCTTCTCCTGCCCAGGACTCCTCACCGTTTATGACATGTGTTTGTTTTCATGCTAAATGTCTCTTCAACTCGAGCCCGGCAGACAGCATCGCTGTGCTAATGCTCCCTGCCCTGTGTTTGTCTAGCCCATGCCTATCATACTAGTAGATATTTAAGAAACGGTCACTGAATGGAAGAATGGCTGAATATATGCTGGAAGCTTCCTTAGCTAGTCGATAGCAAGAAAGCCCAGTTCCTAAAGAGGCTCCTCCTTTCCTTTTCTGCCTTTTATGAGAACATTTACTGAAGCAGAACATGATAAGATGTGTAAGCAAAGCCCAAAAGGTCATCGGCACCATGGGAGCCATAATTTAGTCATGCATCTGTCAGTCAATTGGTTATCAATTGCTGAACAAATATTTAGTGAGCCCTTCTCACGTGCTTATCTTTTATGTGAAGAGCTAATCAAATCCCATGAATCCTTCGAAGACCTGATGCCAGCACACCTCCTCCGGGAAGTCCCCCCACCAATTGTTCGAGCCGCTTTGACCACTGTCCTTTGCTTTCTCACTTCCTTGACAGGTGAGGACCCACTCCAGCTGGTACCACCTGTGCCGCCTGAGCTCCCTGGCTTCGACCCAGGCCTCTTACCTTGAGCTGGGGAAACTAAGTTAAAGATGAGGGGGCAGGCCAAGACGACCACCTGGCCCAGAGGGGTGGCTGGCCAGCAGGTGAGGTTGTCCCACATCTTGCTGCAGCCTGTTGGGGGAAGGCAGAGGACACACAGGTCAGCGCGGTCACCGGGTTCCTCCAGCCTTGGGGCCTGAGCCCACAGGCACCCATTCTTCTTCCTCCTCCAGGGTCCCACCTGGAGGAACCCCCAGTCTGAGAGAGCTGGCACCACCCTGCCCAGGCTGCAGAGGGCCTGTCCAGATGGGCAGCAGGACTACAGCTCCATGGTCCTCAGCGAGAGATGGAGTGCCCCCGGGGGTGTTTTGAAGAGTGGTGGGGGTTTTGTTTGTTGCAGAGATTGGGGGTCTCACCCTGCATTTATGGGCAGGTGCCAAGGATGTCAGGCAGACATCCTGCAAGGTGTCACACAATAATGAATTGTGTAGTATTCTGCAAGACTTTCAGATGAGCCCCTGGGCATTTGTGTAGGTGAAAACCTTTTGTAATGACCGGAGCCTAGACTCTTACTCCATTTTGCATATAAACACCAGGTACTTACTGTACAGGTTTAACATACGTGGGGTTTTCCAGAAATGCAACTTGAGTAAAGGGAGGGAAGACTGTGCTTTGTTGTATGTTGAATATTATTAAGGTTTTGGAAAATCACATTACCTCCAGTAACGTTGTCCGTGGACCTGAGTCAGGGAAGCAACCACCGTGTAGGTCAACCTACTCGTCACATTTCCAGAACGGACAAGTGTAGATACAGTCTTCAGACTGTGTCTTATCTGTCAGTGTGATCGTGCCTGAATATGTGCATAGTATTTCATTATAAATCATTTTCCTTTTTATTTTTCTTGTACAACCAGAACTTCATTAAAAAAAAAAATGAATGCACATGTCCTGAATTCCGTTTTATAGTAAAGGAGACATTAAAAAATATTTGTCATAAAAGGAGGTGCCGGGTACGATGGGGTGGTGGGGATACTGAGATTCAGCTAGGTCTTGAGGTGTCTTCAGAAAATTAAAAAAGCAACACATATGCCCCCAACTCAGTCAAACTGTGACTTGCACTGTGGGGTGGTGGTGCTCAGGAGGTAAGTTCAGAGAAAACCCCGCCCTGCAGGTGAGCCCCGAGGGCTGGCTGGTGAAGGGTGCCCAGCGGGGTCCTAGGCGTCTGCTGTAATAGGCAGATGCATGATTTTGCCTGTTTGGGGTCTGGGTGCCAGTGAGGGACTGGGACTCCTCTGGATCCCCTTGCCTGGGGGAGAATTCACTGTTTCTTTGCAACCCTGCCGGGCCCATAGATTTTCTAAGGAAACCCAACCCCCAAGCCAAAGTCAATGCCAGTTGCACCCAGTCCAGCCCAGCCCAGGTCCGAAGGTTCCTAAGTTCTCACAAAGGGGGCCTGGGAGGAGGAGGTGAAAGGATGTGCCCACTTGGGGAGGAGACTTGGGACCCTGAGTGCCGGATGGGCTGGCAGTGGGGAGGGGGGCCTTCTGGGGCTGCAGGAGTGGGGGGGGAGAAGGGGGAGGGGGCAGCAGAGGCTGAAGGCTGACAGCACCTGGATCTGCGGGGCCTGGGCAGAGAGCACAGCCTCCCTTCCTTGGGGGCCCCAACCACTTCTGTCCAATCTGTCTTGAGGCTTCTGTGGCCTCCCTCTGGCTCCCAGTCCCTCCTCCACTCCTGTGCCGGCCTCTCTGGAGGCCCTGGAGGGGTCCACGAGGCCAGGCACCTCCGGCTAGCTGTTCAAGGCCCTGTTAATAATATCAGCAAATGCTTACATAGCCTTTGTATTTGGGAGGCACTGTTCTACTCTCTTTAAATAAACAACTTATTTAACCCTCCCATTTTACAGAGGAGTAACTGAGGTATGGAGCAATAAGGTAACTAGCCCAAGGTCACATTGCTGGTGAATGGTGGAGCCCGTTCACACGTTCCTACGTTCCCTTTCCAGCAAACCTCTTGCACTCCTCCCGTTCCGAAGGGCTCCAGGCCCATTTCTTATGGGGCATTTTGCTCTGCTGGACTGTTTAGCCCTCTGACTATGCTGGGCACACCTTGTTTTGTAGGCCAATTATTGTGTCTGGGTCCCTGCCAGACTTCAAGCTCTCTGGATCTCGAGCTCAGCATGGAGCTGGGTCCCTGGCCCTGAGCTCAGCTTCCCCAGAAGCGGCACAGGGAGAGGGAGACTGGGCACTGCCCTTCGGGAGGCTGCACTTGGCCTCAAGGACTCTCAACACCACCAGGACTGGTCTGTGAACTGTGACATGGCAGGGGAGCCAGGGAAGAAAGGCCATGGAGGGCATGTGGTCAGGGAAGCTTCCTGGAGGAGGCAGCAGGTTCAGGAAGTTGAGAAGGGAGTGACAGGCAAGCAAATGCTAGCGATGTGGAGAGCCTGTTGTCTCTGTGCGTGCCCCAGAGAGGCCCCACAGGCCCCACCACATATGTCCCCAGGCCCACAGAGATGCAGGGTCCTGGCGGGCTGTGTGTGCCCACTGGGGACTGCCACCTCAGCAAGAAAACAAGTCTGGAGCCTGGGGTGGGAGGTGGTGAGGCGGGGCAGGGGGCTTCTGCTCTGCCATTTTATAGACACGTGCGCACCGACAGACACACAGACGCGCACTCCCCAGACACAAAGAACCACAGACGTATATGCAAATACACATACACGTATGCTTACTTGGACATGGAAAGACCAGGCACAAGCAAACAAAGGCACAGAGACACCCATGCACCTCACAGATACACATGCATAGACAGGAGTGGGCATACTGCAGATATTCCCACTCGTACACGCACACATCCACAAACCAACACACAAAGACACGGCGCACCAGGCAGACGTATCCAGGCCTAGCCAGGCTTACAGAGACACATGCCCCTGCCACAGAGAGACACTCAGAGTCCGACATGGGGCTTTACAGGTCCCAGAGGCACAGGCAGCTCCAGACCCACGTGGGCCAAGAGCACACATCTGGATATGCACGAACATGCACAAAGCCCCACACGAGGTCACGGGCAGACTCATCGCCCACAGACGCATACTCGCCCTCCTCTGGATCCGAGGCCGCCTTCCTGGTGACAGGATGTTGGCACCCGACAGGTGCCCTGTGCCAGCAATGACCTCATTGGGATCACGAGGGTGGCTTGCCCTCGGGGCCTGGGAGGCACTGCAGTGGGGCCTGGGATTCTGGGGTCTGGGCCTCTCTGGGCTGCCTGCAGTCCCCGACCCCACTGCTGGGGCCCGCTGAGGCCCATCTACCGCATCTCCTGCCTCCCTGCCCTGGAGGGTGGGGGGTGGTGCATAGGCAGTGGGTGGTCTGGCCACCCCTCACCCAGGGCTTAGTCTGAAGGCCCCAGGAGGCACGGCTTTGTCCTTCCTTAAGAGCTGGGGGAGGTAAAGGCCCTCCAGGAGGCTACAGACACTCCCTTATGATGCAGGAGGCAGAGACTCTGGGCACCAGGGCCAAGAAGGAGGGATCCAGGAGGGCTTGCATAACTGTCAGCCGCAGAGAGGTGACAGGAGACTGGGGAGCCCGGGCGGTGTAAGGATGCTCCCTATTCCTGAGCAAGGCGGTTATGTAACTGCAAGTGTGGCCTCAGGGAGGTGACCTGGTAGGGACACCCAGAGCAGGCGCAGCCGCCCAGGTGCTCTGGCCCTTGCCCGCCCTCAGGGAGCCTTGAGCTCCACCCCCACCCCCACTCCTCATAAGCAGTCTGCCCAGGCACCGCCCACCGCCCCCAGTCTCTCGGCTTCTCCAGGTCCTGCCCGCCCTTCAGAATCTGGCTCAAGGGTACCTTTCAAAGGAAGGTCTCTAATTCCTCCCATTCCTTCCCTGGGCAGCCGTGCCAAGGGCGGGGTACCAGGGGTGGGGGAGTGAGGGGTAGAGGGTGCTGTCTGTCGTCTGATGGGATGGTCTTCCTGGCTCTGGGCAGCTGCGCAGCCTCGGCCGGAGGGTGCCCCCTGGCATCACCCTTCCCACCACGAGGCTGGAGCTCTCCCACACCCCCTCAGGAGGAGGAACTGGGCCCCCATGTGTTCAGCCTCTAGGTTTGACTGTGACTCGTCTCATCAGCTGGACAATGAATGAGCTGCTGAAGGTGGGTTGGGCTGGGGAGGGATGTGTGTGTAGGTGGCATGTCTGGGTGAAAGACTCTGGGGTTGGGAGGAAGGAGCTGGGCCTCAGAACCCCCAGCCTAGTGTGTTCTCCTTGGTTAACAGCAGGGAGCTCCCAGACCTGGGGCAGGTGGTGGGATCAGAGAGACCTGTTAGGGCTTCCTGCTTCCATCTGGTCCCCCAGCTTCTCCCAGCATCCTCTCCTCGCCCCCAGCAGTGGAACTCCATGGTGCCATCCCCACCCAACATGTGTGGGAGGAATGTACCTGGATCCGGGCTCACAATGTGATGAGAAGCAGGGCTCCCTGAGGGGTCCGGGGCCCTCTCTTCCTGCTGGGCCTCACCTGCTGTGTCATTCTCCAGCTGCACTTCCTCCAGGCACCTCTTGTGCTGCACCTCGATCATCTGCATGTGGTAACATTCCTCCTCCCAATGCCAGTTGGTTGCCTGGCCACCCTGGGGGACAGAGACAGGGAGGGGACCTGTCATCCTCATCAGTGGCCTACCTCTCATCCACAGACTCCAGGAACATGAGGCCCAACAAGGCCTGTCACTTGACTGACCCAAGTTCCAGACAGAACCCCAGTCCCAACCCCAGACTAAAACCCGACCCGGACCTGGATTGGACCCAGAACTCCTGTCCGCCGTCCCCAAAGTTGGGTCTGCCTGGAGGGCCCTGTCATGGCTTCCTGGTGGCTTCTAACAGTGCTGCAGCTGTAACAACTTGGTCTTTTGGTGGGGGTTGGGGGGGCACCATGGCATTACTCTGGATGAAGGTTGGAGGGCCTCTCTGTGGGGGCCCAGAGCTGGCCCTCAGGACTCTGCCACCCTCCAGCCTGGGTTGGCAGTCCTGGGTCCTTGCCTCAGTCTCTCTGGATGAGTGGGGCCCAGCTAGTGCTACTGGGTTATGAGGAGTTAGGTCCCTGGAGCCAGGCCTGGGAGGAATCCAGGAGTCTGGGGCTGCATCTTCCAGGCTCTGTCCCCATTCCAGGAGGCTGTGCTGTCTCCTGGGTCACCAGGCTGGGAGGAGGACACTGGCCCTCCTTGCCCAGACCTCACCGGCTTTCTTCTTAGCTTCTGAACGATTCCAGCGGTATCAAATCTAATGAAGGAGGGGAGGTTTCAGGAAATACGAGAGGCCCCTCTAGGATGGCTTGCCATCCCACCACACCTCCTCTGCCTCCGCCTCTGTCCCTGCCCCTGGGGGGGCGGGGACAAGGGATGGGAAGGCCCAAGCCTCCCAGCCTCCCCTTTCCCACACACTGGCCAGGGATCAGGGATGGAACCAGACCTGCCTGCTGGCATGGGGGCAGGCGGGCATTGGCATTGGGGCCAACATGTGAGTACGGGTGATGGCTGCCCAGGGACAGACAGGAAAAAACAGGTCTTGGGAACCACTGGGTGGGCAAAGGCAGGTGAAGGCCTCCATGGAGGATCCACTGAGCTGGTGGAAACTTTTGCGAGTCTCTTTGGCTTTAGGGAAGTGGCTGCCACTCCTGGGCAACCCCATACCGGTTTCCTTCTCCCTGCTCAGGGAAGAGAATGCCACAGTTCCCCAACAGGGCCGTTGGAGAAAGTTCAGCAAGGCAGCTCCAGCATCAAATACTCTCGGTGTCTCTTCCATCTTGTCCCTTCTGCCCTGGGACAAGGTCCTCAATTCCCTCAAACAGGCCTCAAGCAGCTCCCCTGCTGACTCAAAGGCGTTTTGCAGCGGGGCTATGGAGGAAAGCAGTTCCTGCCTTCTGGCCTGGTACCAAGGGTGTGACTTTGACCACTGTTCTAAGTAAGGTGACCCCACGGAGGGATAAGCATCCCAGGTGCCAGAGACTCTCCACTGCTAGAGAGGAACGGGGTCCAAACAGAAGCTGGACAACTCAGTGCTCAAGAGGCTGCACAGCTGAGTCCCTTCCACTCAACACTCCTGTGTCCCTTGTGGAGGCCATGGTGAAGCCTCATTGTCACAGAGGTCCTCAATGTCCACCTTTCCCATACTTGGCTAAGAACCACAGCTGGCCTGGCCCGGGTGCAAGGGGAAGGCCTCATTGTCCAGGATGCCTTTCAGACTTCCCAGCACCCAGGCCTCACCCGCCCATGTGCCATGGGCCTGGAAGCCCCACAGTGAACCTGGGTTCCATCTTGGACTGTGAACTTTATCAGCCAATGGAGGTAAAGACATGAGCTGGTAAATCATTTAAAACTTGGCATATGGAAAGTAACACAGATCTATTATGGAGCAGGATATGGTTATTCATATAACTGTTTCAAAGAAAATACATGGGACTTGAAGGATATGTGCTGTGGTCCCTCTTTGGGGTCACATGCTTCCCTTCTTGCCCCAAAACATTACTCAGACTCAAACACTCGAGATGCTCTGTCTTCAGTGATCTGTGGCCGGCTCATGCTGCTCAGGCATGGGAAGAGCGGTGGCCAAAGGACCCCAGAGGTGACTTCTGGAAGAAGAACCTGGGGACTGGCTCATGTCCCACCACTGGTCTGTCTTGCTTGTCTGGAACACGCTTCTCCCCAAAATGCCTTCCCAGCCCTACTGCCTTTCAGCAATGCAGTTTGTTCTGCCTTCTGGCCCCCTTCCAGCCTCGCCTGTGTCTCCTGCCCATTCTCCACAACCCTCCCCCCGCCCCACAACATGAACATGGGATGGATGGTAGTAGACCATCTGTTGTTGCTGCCTTCTACCATCCTTTACCTTCCTCTGGTGCCATGTCATCATCTCTATCTGGGAAACCACCTCCTTCCACACTCCTAGTTCTTGGGGTTCCCCACTTCTAGTTCTTGGGGTTCTTGGTGTCTTCTAAGAGGTGATCAGACTTGAGCCCGTCAGAGCATTCCTGGCCTTAGTGCCTGGCACGTAGCCCAAGTCAGGCTGCTCAGAGCCAGCAGGCTCATTCCTGGGATTTTGGATTAAGCGACTAGACAAGTAGATTTGGTCTTTCCAACTAGACTGGAAACCTCAAAGGGTGCAGGGGTTGGAACTGCTGCTACCATCTTGTTGCTTCTTGTGTTGTTGTGGAACACAACAATGAAGGCCACACAGGTAAAGGCTGAATAAAGGGATGGAGGAAAAACTGGGTCCCCTTGACATTTTCTGAGTCCCTGGATGCAGCCATGCCTGAAAGTAACCCTGTTTCCAGCAACATGAGTCAGTGTCTTTGCTTATTGCTTGAGTAAGTTGAGTTTTCTATCCCTGTAACCAAAAAAGTCCAGACTTGTGCTCTGAGGACAGGACAGTGGATGCCCTCATTTGCTGGGTCCTCTTTTTTTTTTTTTTTTTTTGAGAGAGCACGCAAGTCAGGGGGAGGGGTAAAGGGAGACAGAGAGAGAAAATCTCAAGCAGCCTCCATGCCCAGGGTGGAGACAATGCAGGGCTCAATCTCACGACCCTGAGATCACAACCCGAGCTGAAATCAAGTGTCAGATGCTTAACCAACTGAGCCACCCAGGCACCCCTTTGCTGGGTCCTCTTAAGCCAGAGCTGTGGCCATGCTGTTTGCCGAGAGATAATTCCTTTTTAATCACCAAGGGCATCATAGGGTTCCTAGCACCTTCTGCTTACCACTCTCTGATGGTGGAAGGCTATTGGGTCCACTTCTCTAGCCAACTCTGCCTGCCCCACCCAGCAGCATAGCCACAAAGCCTTTCCTGAGTGGCAGTTTGCAGAGGAGGGGCAGGAGGCCCTGAGGTAATCTGGCAGTGTGGGCTGTCTCTGAATAAAGTGAGGGTAGGCTGGAAGATGAGCTCAGTTTTCACGCCAATTTAGCTGAGTGTTAGACCCCATCTGCAGAAGGGTAGAGGAAAGAGAGACCCAATGAGGGACCTGAGATCCCCTAGCAAGTGCACATTCCTAGATGGGACCTGCATCTCTGACCACTAGTCTGGACTACATCAATCCTGCTCCATGACCTTGCCTTGGGCCATCTGATCTACCATTGCTCTTTGGGGGACAGGGCCAGGGCAGCTCCCTGTAGCCCTTATCACTGAGGAATTCAGGCAGACTTTGAACTTCCTCTTCCACTTATTTCCCTATGCTAAACATCCTCATTATACCTCTGGACTCCAGACACGCTAAATTGGAAAATTCCCAGCCAGATGCAGCCAAGCCTCATACTGATCCTAGGAAAGGGTTCCAGGATGGGATATAGCTGGGGTGTGGACTTCATAGAGAATGGGTAGTAGAGGTGCATCTTTGAAGAGATGTAAATTTGATCATTAGAGGTGGAGTAAGAACATTCCAAAAAGTAGGAGCAGTGTGTACAGAAGCATGGAGGTTTGAAAATGCCTAATACACGCAAGGTTGCAAATACACGGTGTGGCTGCAGCAAAGGGTCCTGAGGCATCGGGAGACAAGTTGTGGGACACAGGCAGGGGCCAGGCCTCCTCAGTTCCTGCCTGGACAAGTGTACTAGCTTTCAGCCCCTGCAACCCAAGGTCCCCAGGGCCTACGAGTCAAAGCCCACACTTCAAAAGTGGCATTCAAGGCCTTCCCTATTTCTACTACTGCCTACATTTCCTGACTTGTCTCCTGGTGCCCCACATGGAGAGGAGAAAGCAGGGCTTTCTCTCAGGCCCTCACTAATTCCCCGGCTGGGCTGAGCTCCAATGAGCTTCAAGTCACCTGACCTTGTGGGTGGGTTGAGGTGGAAGTTTCAGGCCAGATGGAGCCCCCAGCACCCTCTCTATCACAGGAGTTCCTGAGCCCAGAAGAGGAGACCCGGACAAGAGTGAGGAAGTCTGTAGCCTCCCTTGCACCTGGGTCCTCTTCTCTCCCCTGCCACAGTACTGGCTGGATGTGGCAGGTTACGGACTGGATGTTGGCAGGAGAATCCTGAGTCTCTGGTTGGGGGCAGGGATTAACCAAATCTCATTAATTCTGCCTGCTTACCTGGGTCCCTCCTCTCTGTCCTCACTGTGAGGGTCTTGGGAGAAAGCAGAGCTTTCTCCTCCAGGTGGGGCTCCCTGAGATCTGGGGTAGGGTGCAGATGCTGGGATTTGTGGCTCTTAGATGCTCGGGGCTCTGAAAGACAGGGAGAGGGGCTGACTCGGGTTTTGTGGGTGCCCTACCCACCCCTCAAGGGGAGCTTGAGCTCACAGCTCCTGGTCTGGAATCAGAACCTTCAGCCTCATCCAGGGACAGAGAACTGTGACAGTAGGAGCCAAGGGAGCTTGGTGAGGGAGCAGGAGTCCCTCTGAGGGGCAGCTGATTTCTGAGAGGGGTCTAAAATGCAGCAGGCTGTTGGATTTGGTGAGACAGAAGAAAGAACCTCCTGCCCACAAATTGCCAAGCCTTGGGAGCTACCCTGAATGACTTGTGCTTCTGAGGCTTGTGGAGGAGGGCCCTTTGCCCCTGCCAGGGATGACTGAGGAACGGCGGAATAAAGAGCAGGGGTGGTCCCATTTACCATTCCCCCATCACCAGCTCATATCCCATGATTTATTTGAGC